AATTTGTTACAGAAGATGTAGGAAATGAATACAAGTTTTGTATTAGTTTACAGATTTTGTATTAACTCCCTAGGGCTTCCATAACAAATTTGGTGGCTTAAAACAACATAAATGTATTCTCTCACCATTCTGGAAACCAAAAATCAAGATCAAGGTGTTGGCAGGACCACGTTCTCTAGGTGATCTAGGTGAGAATCTGCTCTCTGCCTCTTTGAGCTCCTGGTGGCAATCGACAGCTCTTGGCTTCCTGGCCGCTTGGCTGTGTACTCCAATCTCTGCCTCTGTCTTCATAGCCTCTTCTCTTCTGTGTAGTCTATTCTCATAAGTACAAAGTGCTGCCCCTTCTATGATGGAAGTGGTCCCAATTTGGAAATGGTCCAAGTTAACCAATCTGCCACCAGGTGGCTGGCTGGCTGATCACTAGGGGAGTGATGCCAGAAGGGAACTCAGTGATGATCCCTACTGCTGGCATAGTGGGCACTCGGCAGTGGCTGTAGCCAGGCCAGCCTTGGTGAGTGGAAGTCCATGTCATTGAGCCCATGCATAGCCTCCTTCTCTGCCATCATGGCCACTTTGCTCAGGAGCCCATTGGACAATGACAGGAGTGTTTGGTGGATGAGACTGACTAATAGTCCCAGAACCCATCATTCTATCCACTTAATTACATATTAAAATCCTCCTCTGCTGAGGTCACCTTTTGGTTGGTATTCACATTGGGCACAAATATCTTGACGATTTTCCACATCTTACCTTAGAAGCCCTACCACTCATGCTCTTAAATCTCCTCCAGTCCTTATCACTCACTCTATAGATAGTGTCCACAGCTACTTCCTTTTTTTGGTATCCATGGGTTAATGGTAGGTACAATTTTGGCAAAGCTAGAATTTAATCTTCTGTTAATCTTCGATTATGACCAAAATATCTAAGGTTGAAATTTTACTCAAGTGGAATTACTCACTTTAACCTTCTTAGAGTGTATATTACTTTTTTCAAAAAATGAAAATATGATAAGATAAACGTTTTATCTATAATCTCTCTTACTTAAAAAAATAAAATTTACATGTTTATGTCTGTATTTGTCCAAGTCCCAGTCCCAAAATATATATAAATTTACACTGTGGTAACAAACAAACCTGAAACATTGGCAATTTTTATTGCCTTTAAAAACAATAGAAAGTGATTTCTCACTCACATAATAGTCCAATGAGGATGTTCCTGGTGGGCAAAGTCTCTTGTCTATCCAGGGGGACGGGGACTGGGTTCCTTCCATCCTGTGGCTCTGGATAGTCACCTGTACTGAGTCTGTAGAAGGGAAATAAGCAGGGTACAGAAGACATATCTGCTTCCTAATATCCTTAGCCCAGAAGAAACACACAGTACTTGGGTTCTTATTCTTATACTAGTTTATCCCCCATTGTTCAAATACATCATGTGGTCACGCCCATATACAAGGGTAGGCTGGAAAATGTAGCTCCTGACTGTGCAACTTCTCCTCGGCAACAACTCTGCACTATGGAGGGGGATCATATGTTTTTGTAGACTGCTAACCCAGTCTGCCATTGTTTTGTAATCTACAATTTTCCTTTTCTATGGTTGAATAATATTCCACAGGTTGATGTGTCACACTTTATTTAATGGTGGTTCCTTATTTAGCTGTATAAAGGTTGTGTTTAATTTAATATTTAATTTCCATTTTAAAATAAATATCATGGTAGGAAGTATCGATATACATCTTTCCCCTTCTGAAGATTATTTCTTTGAGGGTAATTCTGAAAAATAAGAGAGATGGAAAATTATGTACCAAAGTTACAAATATTTTTCAGATTTTTTGTTTCTTCAGACTTATTATTTAAGGACAGTGACTAAATCATATTCATTTCTATATCAGCAGGGCCTTCTATATTGCCTGTTTCATGGTAGATACTCAATAAAGTGAGTTGAATGACCACATAAATTTTAACAAGAGCATATGAAAAATAATTTATCATGACTCTGGATAATAATATGAATGTAACTATTGTCTTTCCTATCTTGACTAATGACTCCATTATTCGCCAAGTTATTAAAAGTAGAAAACTGAGAGTTATTATTAACTCCTTTTCTCACTGCTCCTGTAGTTATTTATTGTAGCATAAGAAATGATCACAAAACTTAGTGGCTTAAAACAGCAACACATATTTATTATCTCTCACTGTTTCTCTTAGTCAGGAGGTGAATTTTTCTGGCTCAAGGACCCTAATGTACATGTTGATAGGGGTTTGAAGGCTTGATGTCCTGCAAGATGGCTCAGCCATACAGCTGGTAAGTGGTGCTGGCTGTGGGTGGAAGGCCTTTGTTTGTCTCCACAGGACTCCTTGAGTGTCCTTGTGGCATGGCAGTTGTCCTCTCCCAGAATGAGCAGCCTTAGCCAGTAGGGTGGAAGTGTCATAATAGTCTCATCTTTGAAGTCACACACTATCATTTCTGCAATATATATTGGAAGTGTCATAATAGTCTCATCTTTGAAGTCACACACTATCATTTCTGCAATATATATTGGTCACCCAGATCTTAACTATTCAGTATGGAGGGGACTGCAAAAGGGCACAAATGCCAGAAACAAGGACCATTGGGGACATTTTGGAGACTGGCTACCAATAATGCCTCTCTTCCACACCCTCATCCACCTGCATGCTCTATTAATTCTCCTTCTAAAAATATGTCTCAAATGGAATAACTTCATTTCTGGTGCCTCTAGCCTAGTCCAAGGCACTATCAACACTCAACTCGAATAACCTCCCATCTGATCTTCCTTCTTCTGCCCTTGCCAGTCTTCTATGTATTTTTCACAGAGCAGCCATTCATCATTCATTCATTTTTTCATTCATTAATTCAATGGTATTTGTTATATGCTTACCACGTGCCAGGTTTGTTCTAGGTTCTTAGGCTATAGCAGTGAAGAAAACAATCCTTGGGTCTTTATACAGTGAGGAAATAAACAAATAATAAGGGAAATATTAGGTAATAATATGTGTGATACAGAAAATTATGGCAGAGTAAAAGAAACAGAGAACAATAGGGAAATTAGGGACATATGGCTACTGTGTTATACAGGGCTGTCAAGCATGCTATCTCTGAGTAGGTGATGTTGGAACAGAAACCCAAAGGACATGAAGGTGCAGGTATGTGACTACCTGGACAAGAGTGTTCTAAGTAGAGGAAAGAGAAAATGCAAAGGCCCTGAGGCGGGATCACGTTTGGTATGTTTTAGGAACAGCAAGCCAGTCACTGGCTGGAGCAGAGGAGGGAGGGAGGGAAGTAGAGAACAGCAGGTGTTGGGAGTCAGCTCACATAGGGTCTTGTAGACCATGACAAAGACTTTGGCTTTACCCTGGTTTGGTGGGTGACAAGGAAAGCCACTGGAATGTTTTGATGGCTTGATATGACTTACTTTTTTAATAGGATCATTTGAGCTTTTCAGCCCATAATTTTAAAAAATGTAAATTATTTCAGGTCACTTCCTCTGCTTAAAATCCTTTAATGGGATTCTGTTGTACTTAGAATAAAATACAAGCCCCCTTAGCTATTATCATTATTATTAAAATTGACACCCTATTGTTCTCTATTATAGCAATCTTTTTCCTTCCTGATTTGTACCCTACTGGTAACCTTCATCATTATGTTTATAATCTGTCTCCTCAACTTGAAAATGTGTACTTGTACTCGGGGGATGTTGTGGTATGTGGGTCTTTTCATACGAAATCATTCCAAGACTGCTTTGTTTCGAGGGCTCTTGTGCTTGCCTTTTCTATTTTTTCTTTGCCCCCCGTCCGTATCTCCTTCATTGTTATATTTGGTCAGTTACTGACCTCTAACAATGTTGGTGCCAGGGTAACTTTGTTATTGGACTGTTTGCTAAAGTTTGCTTTGGTTTATGGGATATATCATTATTCCTCAAATTAATTATCTGGGAAGAGAGGAGCAGGCCTTGTTAAAATATGAATTCTTATTTGGTGGGCCTTGAGGCTCTGTAGTTCTTTCAAGCTCGCAGGTGATGCCCACACTGCCTGTCCATTGAGTAACAAGGGGGCTTGATCACCAAACTTGGCTGAACACTGGAATCACCTGTGGCACTTTAAAATTACTAGTGACTGGATCTCGCCCCCAGAGATTGTGAGATAATTAGTCTGGAATGCAGTCTGAGTACTGGGAGTTTTACAAGCTTCACAAGTGATTCTAATTTGTAGACACATTTGAGAACTACTGGATTGGATGATATTGAATCTTATTTTAAAACAAAGTGTGGTGTTAATACTCTTCACGGCGATGTTGCTGGCTGTTTAAACGAGTTAGTTTTGTAGCTAGAGGAAGAGTCTGATCACACCCAGGGATGACCTTCAGATCTCTGCTTAGCATGACTGGATAATTTCTCCAAAGTTCCCAGCACACACTGTCACTTAGCAGCAGAAATAGAATTCCTACCTTTAGGAGAGCGGTTTTTCCTGAGCAGCACAGCTAAAATAAAATATGCCCACTGCTGATGAGGCTGTAGTAAATCAGGTCCCCTGCTCTGTGAGCTCATTCCAAGGTAGAGAAAGCAGAAGAAGCAGAGAAACACTCCATTTCTTTTTCTTGTAACTTTTAGCATGTTCATGTACATAGTTTCTGAGTCGGTACCAAACTAAGAACTTCATGTGTGATTCTAACTAACCCTTTGGTCATTAAAAGCAGATGTTTCAAACGACTGAAGATCAAACTACTGAAATTCAAACCCCTGAAGATGAGGCATATCCTATTTACAAACTAATAATTGACTACTCGATGTTAGTGCCCCCAAATGACCAGAGAGGTATTAGGCAGGAGAGACAATGCTAGAACTCTCCCTACCCTGCCTTTCTTCACCTAAAGCCCGCTCTGTTCCTTTTGCCAAGTGATTGTTAACAGAACCTGAGGCACTGTCCTGTTGAAATGGCTTCAATCTCATGTAACTGGATTAATTTTTTTTTTTTTTGGTTATCTAGATTGGACGACTGATTATTGGACAGAATGGCATCTTGTCAACACCTGCGGTTTCCTGCATTATCAGGAAGATCAAGGGAGCTGGTGGAATCATCTTAACAGCCAGTCACTGCCCTGGAGGACCAGGGGGAGAGTTTGGAGTGAAGTTTAATGTTTCTAATGGAGGTATGTGGTTCAGAATGTGACCTAATAGTCATGCTTTCTTTCCTCTTGTATTACCATATTCTTACAATAACCCTCTGTTGGTAGACAAACATGGTGAAGAGGAACTGACTCAGAAAAATCTAGTTAGGTGTCTGAGATGATTCAACAAGGAAGTGGCATAATGGGTTCTTGAACCCATTTGGGTGGTCTCTTGGTCTCCTGTACTCTTCAGCACAGTGAAATGATTGAATCGTTGATGCTTATTGGATTTGGAAGAACTTGAGATTTTGAAGTTGGAACAATTCCCTGAATGTCATCTAAGCCAGCAGCCCCCAACCTTTTTTGGCATCGTAGACCAGTTTCATGGAAGACAATTTTTCCATGGACAGCAGGGACTGGGGGTGGGACGTGCAGTCAAACCTCACTGCTAATGTTAATCTGTACTTGTAGCCGCTCCCCAGAGCTAGCATCACTGCCACTGATCTGACAGGAGGTGGACTGTCATTCATCTGACAGTCACAGGTGGTAATGTGACTGATGGAGAGTGGCTGTAAATACAGATGAAGCTTTACTTACTCAGCCACTGCTCCCTCCTACTGTGCAGTTCGGTTTCTAACAGGCCACAAATCATGGCCCAGGGATTGGGGACCTCTGATCTACACAATTCCCCTCATTTTACAGATGAACAAATCAAAGTCCTGAGAGGTTGAGGTACTGCTGAAGGTCACATGCTTACTCTAGGTTAGACTAATGGTTTTTAACCTAAGTCTTTGGTTCTTTTTTTCCTACAGTGCTGATTTTCACTGAAATGTACAGAATTATTTCACCTTTTTTTATATTCAGAGCAATTTACAGTTTGGAGGTCTTAGTAGGGTTTGTGGTGAATATGTGTATAGGGCGACTTTCTTAAAACAATTGAATATATATAGAAGTAGAAAGAACAATAAATAGACACCATGTATAATTAACCTGTTTGTCATTTTGCCGACCTTTTTTTTTTGTTTTTGAAGAATTTAAGGCAAATCACAGCATGATAACATTTCATAACTAAATATTTTCATATACATTTCTTAAAAAGAAAGACATATTCTTGCCTAATTATATTACACATCTAACAAAAATAACAGTAATTCTCTAATGTCGTCTGAAACCTAATCTATAGTCAAATTTTGCATTAATCCCCCAAATTTTATTTATAGTTATTATTCAAACCAGGATGCATCTCAAAACCATGTATTTGCTTGTTAAATCTCTTAACTCTCTTTTTATTTTGGTTTTTTTGTTGTTTTTTTTGAGTTGGAGTCTCATTCTGTCACACAGACTGGAGTGAAGTGGCCGCTTCCAGCCACCGCAGCCTTGACCTGCTGGGCTCCGGCGATCCTTCCGCCTCAGCCTTCCAAGAAGCCGGAACTACAGGCGTGCGCTACCATGCCCGGCTGATTTTTTGATTTATTGTAGAGATGAGGTCTCACCAAGTTGCCCTGGCGGGTCTCGAACCCTCAGGCTCAGGCAATCCGCTCACCTCAGCCTCCCAAAGCATGGGATTACAGACTGAGCCACTGAGCCTGGGTTCTTAAATCTCTTTTAATCTACAACACTGAGTCTGCATGTGTATGTGGATGGGACGTGATATTTAATCAGCAACAGTTACCATCACAAATAATTCCTGGTCCCAGGCAAAAGTAGTGCATTCTGAAGGGAAAAGTTATTATCTCTTACTCCTTGCAGCTATTTTGCACATTATCAAAACAAGAAACTTTATTCATGTTGAGTATTTTAAAAAAAGTACTGTAATCACTTAGCAGAAAACCATAGCAGATACACAAATGAGAGGGAGAAAGGACTCAAAGCTTAGCACAATAGAGAATTTCCAAACCACAAAGGTAGACAAGAAGGAAGGAAGAAACAAAAGGCCTACAAAACAACCAGAAAACAATTAACAAAATGGCAGGAAGTCCTACCTATCAGTAATAACCTTGAATGTAAATGGATAAAACTCTTTAATTAAAAGACAGAGTGACTGAGTGGATAAAAAAACAAGATCATAGTATATGTTGCCTACAAGACACCCATTTTAGCTTTAAGAATAGGCGAACAGCCAGGCTCGGTGGCTCAGCCTGTAATCCCGCGCCTTTGGGAGGCTGAGGTGAGTGGATTGCCTGAGCCCACGGGTTCGAGACCCGCCTGGGCAGCAAGACCTCATCTCTACAATAAATAAAAAAAAAATCAGCCGGGCGTGGTAGCGCACGCCTGTAATTCTGGCTACTCGGAAGGCTGAGGCGGAAGGATCACCGGAGCCCAGTAGGTCGAGGCTGCGGTGGCCTGGAGCGGCCACTGCACTCCAGTTTGGGCGACAGAGTGAGACTCCAACTCAAAAAAAAAAAAATAGGCGAACAGTAGCTGGGCATGGTGGTTCACGTCTTTAATCCCAGCACTTTGGGAGGTGGAGGCAGGAGGATTGCCTGAGCCCAGGGATTCAAGACCAGCCCGGGCAACTTGGTGAGACCTTGTCTCTACAATAAATAAAAAAAAATTAGGTGGGCGTGGTGGCACACGCCTATAATTCCAGCTACTTGGAAAGCTGAGGCAAAAGGATTGCCTGAACCTAGCAAGTTGAGGCCCTGGTAGCCGTGAGCATACCACTGTACTCCAGTCTGGGCAACAGAGTGAGACTCCTATACCAGGGGTGAACTTATATCAGATAAAACAGAATTCAAGTCAAAAACTGTTACAAGAGACAAAAATTAATGCTTAATGACAGACGTTTCAATATATCAAGAGGATATAAAACTGTAAATATGTATGTACCCAATATCAAAGCACCTAAATATACAAAGCAAATATTAATGGACATGAAGGAGAAAATAGCAATACAATAATCGTAGGAGTCTTCACTACTCCACTTACAACAATGGATAGATCAACCAGACACAAATAACAAGGAAATATTGAATTTGAACTGCACTTTAGACCAAATGGACCTAATAGATGTATGTAGAACTTTCCATCCAACAGTAGCAGATACATTCTTCTCTAGAATACATGGAACATTCTCCAATATAGGCCATATGTTAGGCAAAAATTCAAGAAGATTGAAATAACATCTAGGATTATTTCCAAACACAATGGTATGAAGCTAGAAATTAATAATAGGAGAAATCTTGGAAAAATTACAAAGGTGTGGGAATTAAACAACATGTACAACTAATGGGTCAAAAAAGAAATTAAAAGAAAATTTTAAAAACTTGAGATAAACGACAATGGAAACACAACATATCAAAAATGACAGGATTCAACAAAGGCAGTTCTAAGAGGAAAGGGTATAACAATAAATGACTACATTGAAAAAGGAAAAAGATCCTAAATAAATAGCCTAATATTATGCCTCAAGGAGTTAAAGAAAGAAGAGCAAACTAAACCTAAAGTGAGCTGAAGGAAGGAAATAATGAAGATCACAACAGAAATAAATCAAATAAAGAACAGAAAATCCATAGGAAAAAAGTCAATAAAAGCAAAAGTTTTTTCTTTGAAAAAATAAAGTTTACAAACCCCTAGGCAGACTAAGAAAAAAGAGAGAGAAGGCTCAAATAAATAAAAACAGAAATGAAAGTGGAGACATTACAACAGATGCCCCAGAAATAACAGTGATCATAAGGGATTCTGATGAGAAATTATATGCCAATAAAATGGAGAACCTAGAGTAAATGGATACATTTCTAGAAAAAATAACCTAATGTTGAATCAGGAAGAAATGGAATAACTAAACAGACAAAAACAAGGAGATTGAAAAACTAATTAAAAACTTTTAACTTAGAAAAGTCCAGTACCAGATGGCTTCATGACTGAATTCTACCAAACATTCAAAGAAGAATTATTACCAATTCTCCTTAGACTCTTCCAAAAAAAGAACAAGAGGAAATACTTCCAAACATATTTTGTGAGGCCATTTCATCAGTCTGATACCTGACCCAGACGAAGACAGTACAAGAAAAGGAAACTACAGGCCAATATCTCTGATAAACCTTAATGCAAAAATCTTCAATAAAATATTAGCAAACCAAAGTCAACAACACATCAAAAAGAGTATGCATCATAACCAAAAGGGATTTATCCTTGGCACGCAAGCATGGTTTAACATATGCAAATTGATTAATGTGATACATTACATTAAAAGAATAAAAAATAGGAACCACATGATCAGTGGTTTCTTTCGCCTTTGCCAGCTCTGGCATGTCATTCTTTCTTTTCCCCCTTATTTCTCTAATAAACTTTATGTGAAAACTTTAAAAACAAACAAACAACAACAACAACAAAAACAACAGGATCATCTTGATTGATCCAGGAAAAGTATTTGACAAAGTTTAGTATTCTTTCTTGATAAAAACTCTAAACATTTTAGGTATAGAAGGAAAGTTCATCAACATAATAAAGACCATTTATGAAAAACCCACAGCTAACGTCATCATCCATGGGGAGCAACTGAAAACTTTCCCACTAAGATCCAGTACGTGGCAGGGATGCCTAGTCTTGCATCTAGTACATAGCAGGCATGCCTACTCTTGCACTTCTATTGAATATAATATTGGAAGTAATAGAAAGAGCAATCAAACAAGACACATAAATTAAAGGCATTCAACTTGTAAAGGAAGAAATACAATTATCTCTATTTGCAGATGACGTGATCCTATATGTAGAAAGTCCCAACAATTCCACAAAAACTGTTAGAATAATAAATGAATGAAGTGAGCTGCAAGATACAAAATCAATAACAAAAATCACTAGCATTTCTATGTACAAATAAGAATCAAGAAAACAATCCCATTTATAATAGCATCAAAAAAAAAAAACCTTAGTAATAAACTTAGCCAAGGAAGTGAAAGACTTGTACACTGAAAACTATAAAACATTGATGAAAGAGATTGAAAAAGACACTAATAAATGGGAAATTATCCTGTGCTCATGGATCAGAAGAATTAGTATTGCTAAAATGTCCATACTACCCCAAACAATATACAGATTAAACACAATCCTTACCAAAATTCCAATAACATTCTTCACAGAAATAGAAAAATAACACTAAAATTTGTATGGATCCATTAAAAAACCCAAATAACCAAAGCAACATTAAGAAAGAAGGACAAAGTTGGAGGCATCACACTTGCTGATTTAAAATTATGTTGTAGACTGGGTGCAGTGGCTCATGCCTGTAATCCCAGCACTTTGAGAGACTGAGGCCGGAGGATTGCTGCTTGAGCCCAGGATTTTAAGACCTGCCTGGGCAACAGAGTGAGAGCTTGTCTGTATGGAAGAAAGAAATAAAAAAAAAGCTGGACATTGTGGTACACACCTGTAGTTCCAGTTACTTAGGAGGTAGGTAAATCACTTGAGCCCAGGAGGTCAAGGCTGTGGTGAGCTGTGATTGTACCACTGTATTCCAACTTGGGCAACAGTGAGACCCCAACTTAAAAAAAAATTAAAAACTTAAAAATGTATATTACAGAGCTATTGTATGGTACTGGCATAAAAACAGAAACATAGACCAATGGAACAGAATAGACAGCCCCAAAATACATAAACAACATATGTAGTCAACAAATTTTTGACAAAGCCACTGAGAAGGCACAATAGGAAATGATAGTCTCTCCAATAAATGGTGCTGGGAAAACTGAATTTCCACATGCGAGAGAATGATAGTGGATCCTTCTCTTACACCACACAAAAATCAACTCAAATTGGATAAAATATCTAAACATAAGACCTGTAACCATAAAACTCCTAGAAGAGAACATAAGGGAAAAGCTCCTTGACATTGACCTTGGCAATGATTTCTTGGATATCATACCAAAAGCTCAGAATACAAAGCAAAAATAAATGGGAGTACATAAAATTAAAAAAGCTTTTCTTAAATAGCTTTTCCATTTTTCATTTATTTGTTTATTTTACACACTTCAAAATCTCTGGGTATTCTTTTAATATTTTAAAATTTATTTCAAATGAGTACCCGTAGGTTTACCATATCCTTTAAAAAAAATCATATATACGTATTTTTGGTGTACATGTGATATTTTGATACATGTATACAATGTGACTAGTGGTTATTTTATTGAACAGTTCATCTCTAAGGATTGGGATATTCACATACAGAGCTATCTGTTGTCATCCATCAATCATTTATATTTTAGCTCTTTCAATCTATTTATTTGATCCCCAAACTTGTTGCAAAAAAAAAAAAAAAAATCTAAATTGGCGTGCATTAAGATATGCACTTTTAAAAGAAAAAAAAGCCAAAACGTGAAGAAGTATTGATTTCACTTTCAATTCACTTAAAGTTTATTACTACTTAATTGTCAACTTGAACTTCCTAGGAAATGCATCAAATATTTTTAGTTAAACCTTATTTTAAGAACTTGGGAGTGACTAAACATTGTGAGTTGCATAAAATAATTAATTTACCCTGTTAAGCTCACACATCAACTAGGCAGCCCAGCTAGGAGTGGATATCATATTTAGTTTCTGTAGGTGCCCTTGGGAAACTGCAGTGTAAATCTGGAACCCCTCACTTCTGTCAAATGCATATCCTGTTTGTGTCTCATATCCTGAATAAAGCTGATTACATAACCGGGTCTCCCTGGCAGGTGTGAAACTATTTTTAGGGAAGATGCATCATTGCTTAGAAGTGAATTAAAACAAACATGTGGGTTATAGTCTACATAGAACAGGTGAGGCTGACCAATTTCCTCTACAGTGGATGAATACAGCATAAGAAAAACCAGGGCTAATTGAACTGTGAACTGTTGTTCTTGTTTAGAGAACAAATATATCTTTCTCCTGCTTTGTGGAGGAGGATAGGAACATATCTCTTACTGAAATCCTTGAGACTTTTAAAAAAGTGTATTTTTGCTGTTCAAACAAACATGTGGGTTATAGTCTACATAGAACAGGTGAGGCTGACCAATTTCCTCTACAGTGGATGAATACAGCATAAGAAAAACCAGGGCTAATTGAACTGTGAACTGTTGTTCTTGTTTAGAGAACAAATATATCTTTCTCCTGCTTTGTGGAGGAGGATAGGAACATATCTCTTACTGAAATCCTTGAGACTTTTAAAAAAGTGTATTTTTGCTGTTCAAATTTTAGGTCCTGCACCAGATGTCGTCTCAGACAAAATCTATCAGATCAGCAAAACAATTGAAGAATATGCCATATGTCCTGATCTTCGAATTGACCTGTCTCGACTAGGAAGACAAGAATTTGATTTGGAGAACAAATTCAAACCATTCAGAGGTAATAGAGATTATATTTTGAAGAAGCTAGAATAACTTTGTGGATGAGGGTATCTGTGGTTTCTGCAGGGAAGCACACTCATGAAATTTATTGCATCATCAATCTCAGGGACTCTTGATAAGTAGAAGGAAACTGAATATGGTACAGAGAGAAGAAATAGGAGCAGCTGGTCATTCAGAACTGGAAACTTGCAAAAATCACTTCCCAAACTCTGTATCATTTTCAACATAGAACAGTTTCATGGTTGACTCCGTTATAGCATTCCAAGAATAATCTGTGAATTGCCAAAGCTTGTCTTTGATTTTCTAAGCAATTAAGGTGAAGATGTTGGGATACCTTAGCTAGCTAAGAAGCGACCTAACAAGTCAATGAGGTGATTACATTTCTCTTAGAAGGTAGGAGTTTTTTTTCCAAGCAAGAATGGAGTTCAGCTTACTTTAATGTACAATTTAGTGATGACCTGCTCTATACCTAGTACTGTGTTAGGAGATTTACAAAGAAATTCAGTAACTACCAAATGTATTTAGGCAAATGGTTCAGGAATTAAAGAAACAGGATGAGATTGCCAAAAACATTATCTTATGGTATACCACTTCTCAAGTACTCAGAGCGTGACCTTTTATTTTATATGTTCATTTTGAATCATACAGCAACAACATTAATACCATGTATGTGTACATAACTCCCCCCTCCTTTTTATCCTGTTGCTTTTTCCTAGAAGCACATGAATAGCAGTAGAAGTAATATGTTTTACTCCTTTAGTGCCTCTATCAGCTTTTAAGGTTGTGTTAAGGTAGTATCCTTATTTTACAAGTAATTTAACTTAGCTAAAAGGATGCCTGATTCACGGCCGCAAGGAATTTTAGGCGCAGAGTAAAGCTTCAAATGATCTGTGCAGGGATCACAGTGTTGGGCCAATCTTCCATGAAAAGTTTTGAATCAGTTGTTTGCTTAGCTAGTAAGCTGAAATTTATTGAATGCTATGTGATACTCACTGGAAGCACTAGTGACTGCTTTTTATTAATCTAGCCGGGAATATGCATACGTGTATGCATTCACACACGTGGAATGGCTGAATAACTAAAGACAAAGGATATGTGATATTAAACAAAATGACTTAAGTATGCTGATTACATGTGTTTAGAAGGACTGGGCTATCAGATGACCAAAAAAGGAAGGCATTGTCGTCAGAAAGGTTTCCTTCCCTCTCTCTTTCCTTCCCTCCCTCCCTTCCTCCCTCTCTCTTTCTCTTCCCTTCTTTCTTGCTTTTATCTTCTCAATTTTTATAGTTATCCAAAGGACCCAAATCTTTGGTGAGCTCAAATTCAGACCTATTGCTGCAGCCGCACTGCCAGTTGCATGAATTTTATGAACTGCTATTGATACCAGGAAGTGAGTAGAGGGATTTCCTGGCTCCCAAGAAAAATTTGGAGATAATCATTTGGGATAATTTATATGTGGTATTTTTTTTTTTTGCTTCAAATGTTGAGCAAAGCTTGAGTTAATTTGAAACAAATTAGTCCTTGGCATTTCACCTTAAAGTGTCAAGAGCATGCACTATTTGATGTGAACTTTCAACTTTTGCTTCCTTCTTGCTTCCTTGTTTTTCATATTTCTGTTTTTCACATTTACCATGTGTTGTCTGTTGCAAATACCAAATGTATTTGAAATTGCCAAAAATATTATCCTATAATACAGAGTGAGTACAACTTCTAAACTACTCAGGGAATAGTAGTTTATTCCTTTTATTTTATAGATTAATTTTTTAATTGTGGTAAAATATGCATAACACAATTTAACACAGCATAAATTTACCATGTTAAATGTTTTAAGCGTATAGTTAATATAGATTAATTTTAATTAATTTATAGATTCATATGTCCCTTATGTCAAAAGATAATTAAAAACTCACCGGGCTCGGTGGCTCAGCCTGTAATCCTGCGCCTTTGGGAGGCTGAGGTGAGTGGATTGCCTGAGCCCGCGGGTTTGAGACCCGCCTGGGCAGGTGAGACCTCATCTCTACAATAAATCAAAAAATCAGCCGGACGTGGTAGCGCATGCCTGTAATTCTGGCTACTTGGAAGGCTGAGGCGGAAGGATCACCGGAGTCCAGCAGGTCGAGGCTGCGGTGGCTGGGAGCAGCCACTGCACTCCAGTCTGTGTGACAGAGTGAGACTCCAACTCAAAAAAAAACCCCAAAAAAACAAACAAAAAACCTCTATGTTCCTTAAAAAATAATTACATTATATTTGAATAGACATATAGTACATTAAGTGCAATAAAAAATATTTAGCTATGTATTTGACAGATAAAGGGATAATTTCATATCACATGTTAAAATCTCATCCATTAAATATTGCACATGTATTTACTAAAAATTATTGAAGGTGAATTGGTAATATCTTCAGTGCAAGTTTAAGTATTTCAGGATTCCAAAGCAGTGTGTATTTGAAACATTTCAAAAACAATATACACAATTTTAAAATGTAACTACAAATTTAAAAAACCGGGTTCCTGGACTAATTTTAGTTCCTAAAGTGTCAACTATTTACTACTTCTAGGAAAAATACTTTCTGAGCATTCATTATGTGCTGATTGCCACATTTGAAAAATGTAATGTATTCTGTGGTTTTGGTATGTCAAATAAATGAAAAAGACTCATTTTGAATTTTTGGTCATTAGGGAGTGCCAGAAACTGGACAGCATTTGCGTTTAATAGGGCTTTCTAGATATTTGCCATTCACCTGGCAACTGGGTAATAGATCGGGCATGAGATTTCAGGCACACTCAGGAATACTTCACCAATTTCACACTTGGATCTGGTAGGTGCAATGGCATTTAAAAAATAGGGGTCACAAGGAGGTCACTCCCTGATTTGTTTCATACCAGCTGAGTCATTCTTTGGCCCCCCTCACAGGAAAGGCAACTGGATATGCCAAGATGCCTCTTAGCATTGAGATGTGTGCATTGTTTGGGAGAGAGGTGGCAGCAGGAAGGTAGGGCAAGAATAACAGGGCATATTTTTATCTAAGTTTTTTGTTTTGTTGTTTGTAATTTTATTTTTTTAGATTCAAGGGGTACATATGCAGGTTTGGTACATGGGTATGTTGTATGATTAAAGGCATGGTACCCAATGAATAGTTTTTCAAACCTTGTCTTCTTCCCTCCCTCCTCATTTTGAGAATTCCCCAGTGTCTGTTATTCCCATCTTTATGTCTGTGTGTACCCAGTGTTTAGCTCTCACTTATAAATGAAGACATACAGTATTCAGTTTTCTGTTTCTGTGTTAGTTTGCTTAGAATAATGGCCTCATCTGTACCCATGTTGCTATGAAGGACATGATTACGTTCTTTGTGGTTACATGGTATTCCATGGTATAGATCTTGTGGTATAGATCTTTGTGATCACTCGCAAATAACTTATAACTTATTATTTATACCCATTGATTATCTTACAATTTTTTAGTATCTTGATTGTGCCTCGATTGTGATTTTGTCTACTTTCTACATAATGTGTGGGGTTCTAATGAGACTGTGATCAGAATTTCATTCTGATGAGATTGTGTTCAGAATTTCATGCTACAAGGGTAGTGATTCTCTTTTATGCTTCCAAATATCTTTCACGGGTGCGGTCATTGGCATTTCCCTTTGTTTTCTTATCTTTAGTGGAGATAGTGGACCCAGTGGATATCTATCTGAACCTCCTTCGAACCATCTTTGACTTTAATGCCATCAAGAGTGTGCTGACTGGGCCCGGCCAACTGAAGATCCGCGTTGATGCGATGCATGGAGGTAAGCTCATCGTCTTCTATACATCAGTGGGCAAGAAATGAAGACTTCCACAAATGTTGGGTTTCTAAGATTATGAAGAAGGTTGAATTCATAGATATTTCCACAACATATGTGTGTTTGATATTTGGAATGCTCTGGAAAATATCAGGACTTTAACTTCTTTCTTTTGATGTAAAAGAAAACACAAGTTGAACAAATGAGTTTGAGGCTATGTATGCTAGAGGGTGGGTGGTTAGAGTAAAACTGTAGTTATTTATTTATTTGATCACAGTACATGCCATAGTTTAAATAGTCAAATAGCTCAAGGTTTATCAAGAAAAAGAAATTTATCCCCAACTCTTTTCTTCCCTCAATTTCTTGCTTTCAGGAGACAACCTTTTTCAACTCTTCAGCTGTTTTAGTATTCATCTCTCTCTCTCTCTCTCTCTCTCTCTTTGAGTTGGAGTCTCACTCCATCGCCCAGCCTGGAGTGCAGTGGTACCCTCACAGCCACCCCAGCGTCGACCTGCTGGGCTCCAGCGATGCTTCTGCCTCAGCCTTACAAGCAGCTGGAATTTCAGGCACACACTACCAGGCCCAGCTAGTTTTTGATTTATTGTAGAGACAAGGTCTCATTCTGTTACCCAGGCTGGAGTGCAGTGACACACTCACGGCCACCCTAGCGTCGACCTGCTAGACTCGGGCGATCCGTCCACCTCAGTCTTCCAAGTAGCTGGAACTACCACACCCAGCTAATTTTTGATTTATTGTAGAGACGAGGTCTCGCCAAGTTGCCTGGGCTGGTCTCGAACCCATGGGCTCGGCCTCCCAAAGTGCTGGGATTACAGACTGAGCCACCAAGCCTTGCTCTGATATATTTTTAAAAGTTTTCTTCTTCCTCTATAATGTGTTTCTTCTGTGTTTCCCTTGACTCTTTGTTTTTTTAGCCTCATCTTAAGTGCAGTTCTCAAAATTTTATTGATCCTTGGAAGCCTGGCATGTTTAAGAGTGAGGCATGAAAAAAGCCTATTGGGAACCCTGAGCCTATTGTGATTTTTATCCTCCTTGGACTTTACTCTAAGGCCTTCTGTCTGGGCTATTGTGTTCTTTCCAATGGGACTGATCATATTATCCAGAAAAAGATCTTTCAGGTTTTTGCCTTAGCATTATCTGGCCTAGAGGGAAAACAGCTTCTGTATTCATCCTTTTTGCATTGCTATAAAGAAATACCTGAGACTGGGTAATTTATAAAGAAAAGAGAGTTATTGGCTCATTGTTCTGCACAGCACTGGCATCTGCTTAGCTTCTGGTGAGGCCTCAGGAAGCTTGTATTCGTGGCAGAAGGCAAGGGGAGACAGCATGTCACATGGCAAAAGTGGGAGCAAGAGAGAGAGGGAGATGGTGCCAGGTGCCTTTAAGCAACCAGCTCTCACATGAACCTATGTGCAAGAACTCACTTATTCCTGAGAATGGCACCAAGCCATTCACAAGGGATTCACACCCATAACCCAAAACACCTCCCTCTAGGCCCCAGCTCCAACACTGAGGATCACATTTCTACATGAGATTTAGAGGGGACAGCCATCCAAACTATATCAGCTTCTCCTTCCCTATAATTTGAGCAATGTCTCTGGACTTGAGCTCATTGTCTGACTTGTACTACATGCCCGTCTTTGAATCAGTTACTCTGGTTGGGGCATGAGGGACACTGATTGAACAGATAGAGGTCGCCTTCCCAGCCTTGGAGAAAGTGGCATTGAACCTCAAACAGACCACACAAACTGAAATGGGGAAGGGGGTAGTGCTTCAAAAGAAACCACAAATGCTGCATCCTGAGGAAGGGGGAATAGCATTGGGAGGGTGAAATCAAGTGATGTCTCTGTTGAGAACTGTGTTGTATTGGTGGAAAGATAAATTGGAAGCATTACTTTACATATACTTAAGCTAACAGGATTACACACTGGTCCCTAAATGTGCCCTATGTTCCACCTCAGGCTCTATTTTCTTGTCAAAAATATTACATTTGGGTGGTCTCCCCAGTCCTGATCCCTGCCAAATGTACAGTCCTCCTTCAAGTCCTCCCAGAAGTGCTGCTTCCTCCTTGAAACCTTATCGGTGGCCATGGCTTCTCTCAAGTCCTTACATCTCACTATTTTGTCAGTGTGTCATGAATGGCATCTCTCCCTTAGTCTTACCACTATAGTCACTCATCTATAACTTTAACTCGTCTCATTACAGGATTAAGAGGCGGGTGACATAGAAACCTACCGCTTCAACAGGAGCTTGCATCACTCCAAGATGATTCCTTCAGTTCCTAATCTAGGCGTTTCATGCTAGGCACTCCATAATGTTCACTGAACTGGAAAATACTATCCCTTAACATTCATTTTATAAAAACGTGCTTAGTTTTATATGCATCAGTGGTTTATAATGTTAATTATACACTTGGCAGAGTTCAAATGATTACAGAGACAGGAACATTGCTAGGGCCCTTTAGTGCTTTTGCATATGTTCAGCTAAAGCTTTGAATACACGAAAAGCAACAGACAATGAACCATTGCTACATAGTTGATTTTTTTCCCCCTAGCAACATTTTAGAAAAAGTTTTGGGAGAAAAAAATTCGTGTAACTAGATTATTGAATATATCTTTCTATATTTCTAACATGTGTAGATGTTCAATAAACAGTAAAGTAAATATTATTCTCAAATATGTCTTGAAAAAGCCTGTAAATTTATCTTTTTCTTCGGGGGTATTAAATGGTCTTTTCTATTCTAATCAGAACAAAATACCCTGGGGAGAGGGCTCTGCAAATGTTTCATATTGTTGTGTACCTCTTTTTAGTTATGGGACCCTATGTGAGAAAAGTTCTGTGTGATGAGTTGGGGGCCCCAGCCAATTCTGCAATAAACTGTGTTCCCCTGGAAGACTTTGGAGGGCAACATCCTGACCCAAACCTTACATATGCAACAACTCTTCTGGAAGCCATGAAGGGAGGAGAGTATGGATTTGGAGCTGCATTTGATGCTGATGGGGTAAGTAGGAAAATGTTCTGCCTGCTGACCCCTTGACCATATAATGAACCAAGCACTGGAAATCAGCAAGTGAGTGAACACATCTGGATCTAACATGTATGGGACATGTGTATCCCAACTGGCTCTCCATCTGCTCTTCTGCTTAATGGCTAAATATTGCAATTAAATAGTCATTACTTTTCTTAGTTCCAGATTAGCATGACGGTATAAAGAAGTTGTTTCTTTAAAAAAAAAAACGCAATAAATCTTTATTTACAGCTGGTTTTGCTGAAAGCAGCAAGTTTAGGAACCAGCTATTTCTGCAAGAATTCTGCATTACATTTAGGGAAAAGAAAGAATTAAGTATCTAGAGGCTACTAAGCATGAGGTAGTCATCCACATTTCAACAGTTGGTACGCTTTCTTAGCTGTGTCAAGATTCTGGATCCTTGGTATTCTGGGATTTAGAAGGTGGTTTCCCATGCTCTCTTTGGCCTCATTTAAGTTATTAGCAATTGTTAAACATAAGATGGCAATAAAGTGGCTTGTGATGATTACAGGAGCGGGCTGCTAGCAGCAGATGCTTCTGTCTGATCATTTTCACATTCCTCCCTCCAGGACCGTTATATGATCCTAGGCCAAAATGGCTTTTTTGTGAGCCCTTCTGACTCCCTGGCCATCATTGCCGCCAACCTCTCTTGCATTCCATATTTCCGTCAGATGGGGGTCCGCGGATTTGGAAGGAGTATGCCAACAAGCACAGCTCTGGACAGGTAAAGCAAGAATGTCACTGTGAAAAGCTTTATGGTAGACCTCTGATGTCGATGTCTCTTCTGTCAGTAGCTGGCACTCAGACTCCACTGGGAACTTGTTGAAAATTTGAGAACTTAAAGATATGATACGGTATACTCTGTAGGAGCTGGAGGATCAGGGGGCCTGCCATTCTTGGTTCTGCCACTTATTAGCTATGGAAAGTAGGGAGACTTGATCTCTGTGCCTCAGTTTTCTTATCTGTAAAATGGGGATAATAATAGTAGCATCTTTATATGGGTTGGTTATATGGTATGAATGAGGTGATTCATGTAAAACATTTAGCAGAGTGCCTGGTGCATAGTAAATACTACATAAATGTTTAGCAACAGAACTTTCTTAATCTGAAATTTTGTCTAAGTGAGGTGGGAAGAATATGAGTATTGAAGTCATACTGTATTCCAGTAAAATGCTAGCTTGTACCCTTATAAGCTCTATACAGATAGGGATGACACGTCATAGGGATGATACTTCACAGGTGAGAATGAAAGGAGTCAACAGTGTATGGAACATGCCTGACATCCACTCAGCAGGGGCTCCAAATGAGTTAGGGTTCCTTCCTTTCACCCTATTCATGCCTACCATCTTCTTCTACCTTGCATTAGAAAGCGGTGAATTTCAGAATCTACTTTTTCAAACAGTCTATATTAATAGAAGTATTACTGTGCTTCTTGTGGACAAACAAGCAAGAAAATGGAAACATCATGCCCCCTTTCTTGAATTACTTATGTTAATAGATACATGTATATTCCTTATTGGATTTCTTTCTATACATATATATTATACGCATGTCATTAAAATGCATAATATACATATGCATATATAATTTTAATACATTGCCTTTTTTAATACCAAAAAGAGATTAGAAATTACACATTGCTTGTGGCCTGCTTTTTCTTTTCCATCAACAATTGCCAGCTTCCTATTAATAAGTTTTTATGTCATCTGAAATCAAGATCATATTCAAATTTTCCCTGAGTACCCCTAACATGTTATTTATAGAAGGCTTGCCCAAAGTAGTATCCCAAAAGACCACACATTGCATACATTGTTATGTCTCTTCAATCGTTTGATTTTTTTTTAATCTAACACAGTTCTTTTCTCTTTTACTTAATGATGATTTTTGAAGAAACCTGACCAATTGTCTTGCAGAAACTCACCTTTTGGATTGTGTGGTTATTTTCTCAGAGTATTATTCATTCATTCATGAGATAAAATTTTTATACAGTGAAATGTGGAACCTTAAGGATACAAGTGAATGAGTTTTGGAAAAGGTGTACATTCGTGTAACCATAACCTGGATTAAGATACACAACATTGGCCAGGCGTGGTGGCTCATGACTATAATCCCAGCACTTTGGAGGCCAAGATGGGAGGATTGGTTGAGCCCAGGAATTCAAGACCAGTCTAGGCAACATAGCAAGACCTCATCTCTACAAAAAATTTTTAAAAAAATTAGCCAGGTGCTGCCTGTAGTCCCAACTACTTGGGAGGCTGAGGCAAAAGGATTGGTAAACCGTGGTCATGCCACTGCACTCCAGCCTGGGTGACAGAGTGAAGAAAGAAAGAAAAGAAAGAAAAGAAAGAAAGGAAGGAAGGAAGGAAGGAAGGAAGGAAGGAAGGAAGGAAGGAAGGAAGAAAGGAAAGAAAGAAAGAAAGGAAGAAAGAAAGAAAGAAAGAAAGAAAGAAAGAAAGAAAGAAAGAAAGAAAGAAAGAAAGAAAGAAAGAAAGAAAGGCACAGCATTCCCATCACCTCAGAAAGTTTCCCTGTGTCTTCTTCCATTCCCTTCTAGGCAACCATCGCCCTGATTTCTTTTCTTTTCTTTTTTGAGTTGGAGTCTCATTCTGTCACCCAGACTGGAGTGCAGTGGCCGCTCCCGGCCTCTGCAGCCCCCACCCACTGGGCTCCGGCAATCCTTCCACCTCAGCCATCCGAGTAGCCGGAATTACAGGCACGCGCTACCATGCCCAGCTGATTTTTTGATTTATTGTAGAGATGAGGTCCCGCCAAGTTGCCCGGGCAGGTCTCAAACCTGCGGGCTCAGGCAAGACACTCACCTCCCGAAGCGCGGGATTACAGGCTGAGCCACCGAGCCTGGCTTGCCCTAATTTCTATTGCTATAGGTATGTTTGCCAGTCCTTAAACTTCACGTAAATGCAGCTATATACCATATACTTGTTTGTAACTGGCTTTTTTTTCATTTAATACATACTTTTGTAATTCATCTGCATCCATTGTATATGTCAGTAGTTCATTCCTTCTTGTTGCTATGTATGAATATATCACATTCAGGTGGTTTCCAGTTATTAGCTATTATTAATTATGCTGCTATGAGCATTCTTTGTTTTTTTTTGGTTTGTTTTTTTTTTTGAGTTGGAGTCTCACTCTGTCACCCAGGTGGAGTGCTGGAATAGTGGTATTCTCACGGCCACCCCAGCTTCGACCTGCTGGGCTCCGGCGATCCTTCTGCCTCAGCCTTCCAAGTAGCCAGAACTGCAGACGTGTGCTACCGGCTAAGTTTTGAATTATTGTAGAGATGAGGGCTCACCAAGCTGCCTGGGCTGGTCTCGAATCCATGGGCTCAGGCAATCCACTCGCCTTGGTCTCCCAAAGTGCCAGGATTACTGGCTGAGCCACTGAGCCTGGCTGAGCATTCTTATACAAGTCTTTTTGTGGACACATCTTCATTACTCCTAGGTAAATATTTAGGAGTGGAATGCTGGTCATAGGGTAGACGTATGTTTCATTTTATAAGAAACTGCCAAACCATTTTCCATTTTATGCTCTTATTTGCAATATATGAGGGTTCCAGCTGTCTCCTATCCTAATCAATATTCGATGGCTATTCTTTTTCATTTTAACCATTCTTGTAGTACAAAATATTATTTCCTTGTGGTTTAGATTTGTATCATCTCAATGATTGGTGATATTGAGCTCCTTTTCACATGCTTATTGGTCATTTGTGTAACTTCTTTTGTTATGTATCTGTTTGAAATGTATTTGCTTATTTTGAAAGTTGGACTGATTATCTTTTTGTTATTGGTTTGTAGAAGTTCTTTATGTATTCTGGATACTACTTTTTTGTCATATATATATAACAAATATTTTCTCTCTGCCTGTTGCTTGCATTTTTATTTTCTTAGTAGAGTCTTTTGATGAGCAGAAGTTTTAAATTTTGGTGAAGTCCAGTTTATTAATTTTTGTTATAATTAATGGAGTATAAGGTTATATATGATTTTGTTATTTATAAGAAATATTTGCTTATTGCAAGGTCAGAAAGGTGTTTTCCTTATCTTTTTCTAGAAACATTGAAGTTTTAACTTTTATTTATGTCTATGATGATTTTGAATTAATTTTTGTGTATGGTATGAGGTAGGGGGTCAAATTTTACTTTCCCCCATATCCAGTTGTTCCAGTCCTATTTATTAAAAAGAATTTTCTTTCCCCTGAGTAGCCTTGGTGCCTTTATTAAAAATCAGTTGACCATGTATATGCAGATCTATTTCAGAATTCTCTACTAGTTGATTCTTGTGTAAATATCACACTAAAATCAGGTGAACTCCCCAACAATTTTTCTTCTCTGTCAAATTAAAAGAAAATTACATATCCTAAATCCTCTGAATTTTATTTACATTTTAAAATCAACATCTGGGGAGAATTGGTTTTTAACAATATTGACTCAACCCATGAATGTGGTATACTTCTCTTTAAGGTTTTTAAAAATATCTCTTACATATATTTTGTAGTTTTTGGTATAGAGGTTTTATACAATTTTTAATTAAATTTATTCCTGAGTATGTTCTGTGTTTTGCTGCTATTGTAAATGGAATAGTTTTATGCATTTAATTTCCCATTTGTTTGCTGCTTATCATCTTTGTAAATTGACCCTGTAGTCTCCACTAGAGGGGAGAAGAATCACCTACCTTTTGGATGCCTCTCACTTTACTTTTCTCCCTCAGGTGATATTGACATCAAGTTCGTGATGGTCAACTAAATTCAGTTTAAAATTCATATCTAGCAGCACCAAAGAGTGAATATGTGATTCCGTGGTTTTTTGGTGTTTTTATTTTCTTCCCATTTACCATTTACTCATACCCTTTCTTAAAAAAAAAAAAAAGACTCAGTAAAACTTTAGGAACAAAGCAAAAATGGGACCATCTCTAGAAATTAAGAACTCAGAGTCATTAGGATCCTGAGTGGCATGTAGAGTATTTAATAATATTGGAGTATATTTAACCCTCCACTTATTAAGAAATCTTATAATTTAGAAAGAATTTTTATATGTGTCATCTCACTTGATCTTTGTGATACTTTAGTGAGGTAATTGAGATAGGCATTATTCTCCCTATATGAAAGACATTAAACCAATAATCAGAGAGGTTAAGTGACTTGTACAAAGTCACACAGCTAATTAGGAATTCGTTTTGGATTTAAAACTAGGTCCTCTGATATCATTTACTTACTGCATCTGCCCAACAGCTACAATTGGATCAGGAGGGTCCCTGATAAACCAGTTGAGAATATTGCTCAACTCTCCTGTGGGCTAGCCAGCAGTTTTCTAAACCATGACCAGGAGAGGCTGGTTTTATTCTGACAACAAAAACCATTTGTCCTTTTTTCTCGTGGAAATTTCCCAGTAGTTCTTGGTTTCACTTTATCCTCCTCTTCCCAATTAATCTCTGTTTCAGTCAGAAACCAGAGGCCTTGCTTAGAAATTTCACAAAGGACCTGTTCTGATATGTAAGTGACCATTTAAAAGGATTATTCATGCTTGCTGGTTGGGATTCAGAATTTTGTTGGGCTCTGACGTGGTGATTTGTTTTGGGTATTTATTCTGTTGTGTAGCTCCCAGGTGGATTCTCATGCTGGACACTTTTTAAGTTTCTTTCTTTTTAGGTAAAATAAAAGTGGCTTCAAAATTTTGGTCCTGATAATGGTTTCCCATATAGCGCCTTATTTTTT